GCCTGAAGGAGGCAGCTGATCAATGATCCCCTCTCATCATTGTTTCTATCTCTCTCTCCCCCTTTCCCTTCCTCTCTGAAATCAGTAAAAATACATTTTTTAAAAGAAATTTAACAGTATACATATTTCTTCTACCACTTCATGTTTTCTCAATGAGGAATCCCTTAAAACAAAAATAAAAACGACACCCCCCATAAATGAGGGAGGGGCTTATTTTTTTAGAAAGGATTTGACAGTTTGAAGAAGCTAGCTTAGAGGCAAATTTTTCGTTGAGAAACTCCATTTAATCATTTACCTATCATGAATCACTTTAACTAGTAAGGACACAATTTTTAAAAATTCTATAAATTATGCATTGTAATGGTGACATAATCTCTCCATTAAAAACTTGATGAGAAAAGGAGCACTTACTAAAGAGTTTCAATAAGCACAGGCAAATCAAAATAGCTTTACAACTATTTTGTTAATTTAATGTTAAATTAAATGGACATCCCTGTTTCCTGACTTCCTCAAGCCTGCAATTATGTGTACCACTTACCCTTATGTACTTAGGAGAAAAACATTTATAATTTTTGTTAGGAGATAACCAACACACAGCTTGTGAGCATGAACCCACATGAATGCCTGCCATTAAAATGCCTTCTTTGATGCAAAATAATCTAAAAATGCTTACTGTAATAATATTGCTGGTTGTGCTGTTATTCTTACTCTAAGATTGTTGTAGGTATGTTGTGGGATAAAGCAGATGAGCATTTACATTGGTGTCTCTAAGACCTATGATTGTCAACATGGCAGAAAAAAACAGATCTAAGATTCACAGGATAAAATAAAAGCTGGTAGCTCTGAATTTGAATAGAAAGTTTCAGTTTGAACTCATAATGATTTTATCTTCAAATGATATATACAACATATGTTGTTTACATATTAGCTCTGTCCAATGAAAAGACCAAGAAACAAAGAGCAACCCAGTGCCAAGCACCTGTAGCACCAAAATTATGCTCTCTTCAATACTAAAATGAGAAGTATCTGAATCCAGGTTTTCACCAGGATATTCAAAAAGAACGTGAAGCATAATACCAGGAAGCAAAGAAGCCATCCAGACCACTAAAGACATGTCAAAAGGACTCAAAAGCCAATTTGAAGAGATTCCCACAACCCAAAATAGGATAATTTGAACATAAGGATATAATTTTAATGAACTGAAATATTTCAAATATGTTTAAGTAGACATTGAGTGGCCAGATTATTATGACCACCTGACGTTTGTAGGCAAGTTAGCTATAATTTCGCGCTGAAGTTGCTAGAGGGCCAGACCATTATAAATAGGGAAGCAGGTTGTTTACCACAACAGTAGAAGTGATTTTTTTCTGAAGATATGGGTAAACAACGTGATTTAACAGCCTTTGAACATGGCTGTTAAATATGTATACATGTTGTGTCATATGTTAAAAAATATATATATCCCACGTTCAAAGGCTGTTAAATAGCGTTGTTTACCCATATCTTCAGAAAAAAAATCACTTCTGTTGTGGTAAACAACCTGCTTCCCTATTTATAATGGTCTGGCCCTCTAGCAACGTCAGCGCGAAATTATAGCTAACTTGCCTACAAACGTCAGGTGGTCATAATCTGGCCACTCAGTGTATAAGTCAATATGTAAATGTTAGTAATAATAAACTTACTGGTCACTTTTGAATGATGTTAGGGAAGCAATATCTTAAAATTGATAAAGAAAAAGGATTGGTACCATCTCTTTCTTGGTAACCAAATGGCTAATGAAGGCAAGTTTCTCTTCATAAAACATATCAGCAAATAAAGGAAAAAGAAATTATGAAATAGCACTATTTTGCAACCGCCAATGAATTATTGGACCTAGGCAATGATCATTAAAGACAGCTAACATAAAAAGAGAAAACCGGACAGTATTCCTCCTGATAGAAGTATCACCCAATGACCTTGGAAAACAAACTTGAACCTAATAAAACTTCAGTAAGGAAATATCCTGGTTACAATCAGCAAAATCTAGATTGAGAAAACTCTGTAGAACAAATGAACTTTTGTGTGTGTGTGTGTGTGTGTGTGTGTGTGTGAGTGTTTTTTGTTTGTTTATTTGTTTGTTTGTTTTAATAATAGAGCAAGAGAGAGGGTGAGAAATTCTAGATTAAGAGAAATATAGGTGACATAATTAATTGCAATGTACAGACCTTATGCACTCCTGATTTGAAGAATGTATGGACTTTAATGTTAATCCTGATTCAAATTAACTATTCAAATTAAATATTAATGAGATTATTGGAGAAGTTTGAAAACAGACTAAATATATAACATTATTAAGGAAGTATGGTTGATTCTTATGTAGGACAATGGCATTGTGTTTATTTTTAAGAATCTTAATCTTTTAGTGATACATGCTGAAATTTAATAAGTGAAATAATATGATGTCTGACGTTTGCTTCAAAATAATCATTGGAGAGGGGAAAAGTGAGTACTGCTATAGGTGAAACAAGGTTGGCCATGAATTAATAGTTATCCAATCTGTGTGGTGGGTATACAGAGGTTCATTACACCATTAGTGTCTCTATAAATATTACATTTTCTTTCATTAAAAGGTTAAAAATACTCGTTTGACATTTGTCAATGAGCATCAGGTTACTATGGGAAATCCTTAGACAATAAAATCCAAACAACTATAGTTAGGATATAGATTTAAATTAGAGTGGAGATAGCAGCTTTTGAGGTCATTTTGGTCAACTTTTGTCAAACAGATTTTACCTAAACCATGTATTCTGCTCATTTCCAAGCCACTAGCATAGTTGTCTTCTTTGGTCTGGTTGTAGTATTTGGTGAAGCAACAAGACAGGATTAGACTTGATGAAGAAAACAGCAAGAAAGCATCAAAAAATTATTTTGGCTACTACCCCTACATTTATTTTGATAACTCTACCAACTGAATGATACCTGCAAATTAATTTTACCAGATGAGTTTTCCCCCACTATACACACAGCTCCCCTCATCACAGGCAGTAGGAAAATGCATATCCCAAAGCTATACTCTCCCAGTTCTCGTTATACAATCCACACGTTTGTGGCAGTGCTGTCTCATGGAAAGCTCACAGCAAAAGGCAATGTGATATAAACACATGGAAACATATGGCACACTAAGTTCTTCTCTGATACTCCAAAATGGTCCGAGGGCTTATATTATAATTGGGGGATACCCCAAGTGCTAACTGTGACTAATCAACAAACAAAGACCTCTAATTAATTGCATTGTTCTGGGGTAGTGGAGACCAAATATTTCCAAAGCCCCTTAAGAATGGTCATGTTTATGTGAAATGGTCCTACATGTGAGATTACTTACTCTTCTTATCTCTACTGCCTGTCTCCTTCAATAGCTTATGCTATACTGATTCAAATCTAACCACTGAGATTCTTCTTGGTACGTCTAACAGTATAAGGGGACAGTATTACGGCTATTTCTGTCTTACATTTCATTAGAAGCTGTTCATTTTTAGTGCTCAGAAGTAGAAAACACTAAATAGGAGATAAGATCCTATATAATAAAAGGCTAATATGCAAATCAACCAAACCTCGAAACGACCGGTCACTATGACACACACTGACCACCAGGGGGCAGTCGCTCAATGCAGGAGCTGCCACTGGCAGTCAGTGCGCTCCCACAGAGGAAGTGCCACTCATCTAGAAGCCAGGCTCACGGCTGATGAGCACAGTGGTGGTGGCGGGAGCCTCTCCCACCTCAGTGGCAGCACTAAGGGTGTCCGACTGCTGGCTTAGGCCCACTCCCCACAGGGAACAGGCCTAAGCCATCAGTCAGACATCCCCCCAAAGGCTCCTGGACTGTGAAAGGGCACAGGCTGGGCTGAGGGACCCCACCCCCCACCCCCTGAGTACACAAATTTCATGCACTGGGACTCTAGTTTTAAAATAATTATCAATATTGAAATTATAGCCATAGACATCAGAAACTTTTCCCCTACAAGATATACCCCAATATAAGGTTATGTTGATAATATTGAAGAGTAAAAGGTACAGATTTTGAGGAATCAGAATGTTACTATTGGAATTATAGCCAATGGTCAATTTATCCATGGTATTGCATGAATAAGCAAAATTCATGGCAATTTAAAACCTTAGCAATTACTTTCAGTATTTTCTTTCAGTAGTTCTTTACTAAAACTATATATATGAACTAAGAGTTATTGATTTAGAATTCCACTTCTCTCCTATATACTTGCTACCCTTTTAAAGAGAGAAAAAAAAGGCAGGCAATAGAGTTATGTGGGAGATGAGGGGGATGAAGAGGAAATAGAAGAAACAGAAGAAGTAAGGAGTAGGGAAAAAATGAGGTGAGCAGGCCTCAGAAAAAAAAAGAAGTGGAAGGCTGGTTTATAGAATGCTGCAGAACCATGGATGCAATGAAAAGTGCAAATAGATATTTAAAAACTTGAGCGAGTAGTTTCTATACCTTATTTTTCTTCAAGAATTCACTGTTAATGATTTTAAGTAATGCATAATTTCAATCTGATATTCTGCTTAACATGTTAGATACCAAGTGATGGTGTGCCTTATTAGAGAATCAATAGCCTGTTTGTTTTGTGGTCTCAGGTAAATTTTTGCCATTGCTTGCAAAGGAGTTTAGGTCCTAAAGTTCCTTGACATTTCTGTTTTGAAATGTTAAGGAACTTTTGGCTAAAATCCAATTTAATCAATAGCAAATTGAGCTAAATAAGAACAAATCGAAAGATATCCTGGGAAAGCATCCAGCATTTTTTGGAGCCTTAAGCCAATCAAATTGGAGAGAACAGAAGGTAGTGTAGGTGGAATTAATGGGACCGAGTTGCTGGCTCATCAAGTAATCATAATAGTCAAAAGCACATAACAGTCAGTTTGAAAAATCTCTCCATTCATTTGATAGCTGACAAAGGACTCAGCAAAGATTCAACACAAAGGACAATAAGGCTGCTTCTCAGAAGACTCACCTGTCTTTCCCAGTTTCCTTCTTAAAAACTCCATCACAGTAACTCATGCGCTTCTCTGTGGTGACATAAATTTGGGCACTTGGATAGATGTCAACAGTCTTTTTCAACATGTTGTAAACGATGCCATTGCCATCTTTCCTCATATTGCGGAAAGGGCCCCAAATCACATAAATAGTGGTGTTTGCCTCCTTGAAAAAATAATCAGGGCTTTTTAGCAAAAGAGGAACGCTGGTATGGGATACAACTCGAATCATTGTCATGCGGCCAACGTCTTCTTCATAGCCCTTGGTGGGGGCGTTGTTCATTCTCCAAATGCAGGAGGCCTGATCTATCTCATTCCCCACCTTCTGGCCAACCATCTGACCTGAGTTGGACACGATGGCACAAAGGTCGCAGTCCAGCTGCAAAGGCTGAAAAACATAAAGAGAAACAAGATGAGGGAAGAAATATAAATTAGTAAGGCCCACCTATCCAAACAAGTTTCTCTGGGAAAACAGAAAATTCAGATTATTATGTATACCTGCTGAATGTAGGAATATCTCTGAAATATACATACCAGTACTATACTGAGCGCCCCAGGTTATCAAACTAGGGCCATCCTTTCATTTAAAAAGGGAATACAAATTGTTAAGTAATAATTTTAATTTCTATCCCCTCGTATTGGTTTAAAGTTAAATGGACAAATTATCATGTGTTTTCCACTCTAAATGGTGACTTTTCATTCAAAACTGTTAATTTCAAATGAAATAAGGAAATTAAAAAAGATCTGATCTCTTTAATAAGGATGATGACTAAAAAGAAGGCAAAAGGGAGCTATCCAGGCATCAATTCTATATTTTACTTATGTGCATGAATGGTTATGTAGAAGTTGATGAAAATATGAAAAATTCAGCAAATGACAAGGTTCTGAAAAAGATTTTCAGAAAACTGCTTAAGTCAAGTCTCAGGTTAGCAAAAATATTACAGAGATCCTTAAAAACTTCCTTTGCATCCCTGTGTTGGCTGGCTTTTGGGTTTACCTTTATTCTGGATGGGTAAGGAAAGGCTTCTTTTATGAACTCAGAGATCTCAGACTGTCCAGAGACAATCTCTAGGGCTACTCTAACCACCACCCTCCCTTTTCCTAACCAATGAGGTAACAGGGACTCATAGAGGTTAAGCACCAGCTTTTAGGACTTCAAATAAGCTAGATAGAGATAAGTGCTAAGTAAAGAAAATTAAAGCAAGGACAGGGGTTAGTGTGTGTGTGTGTGTGTGTGTGTGTGTGTGTGTGTGTGTGTGTGTTGGTAGAGTGATCAGTAAAGGCCTTAGGAGAAAAATGATATGTGATGAATGATCTGAATGAATAAGGATGGCTATAGGGATATGGGGGGGGGAGTATTTTTCCTCATTATTGTGGTAATATGGGCTTGCTATGAAAAAGTTGAAAAATAAAAAATAAAAGAATTGATAAAAGGATGAAAGATCTTCATATTTCTTCAGCTCAACAATTGCTACAATATTTTCTTGTATTTTTCTCCTTCTAGATATATTATTGTAGGAAGGTTGAGAAATACCATTCATACAATTTGGTAACCTTGGTTTTTTATTTGATTTCATATTACTAAGCCTTTCCATGTCAATAAATAGTCCTTAGAGACATTTTTAATGCATATGCAATATTCCATTATATGGTATACCACAATGTACCTGCTTGCCTACTCCTTGGCATTCAGTTATTATCTGATTTTTTTTCTATTATAAAAAAACTGCTTTGATGAACATACTTGTGTTTCCCATTGGATTTTGAATGCTAACAGTTATACATTAATTTAACTTTACTTCTTTGATTTAGTTTTCATTGTAGACCTATAAAATATGCTAGGGAGACAAAGGCATCTAGTTATTTGAGAGGTCAAAGTTAAGAATTTTGAAGAAACTTGACTTGTAGAGCCCACAAAGGTTCACTTATGAGGTATCTTAAAACTGCTAACAAAGGAATTGTCCATCACTCCTGCTACATTTAGATTTCTGAACTAAGGTGACAGCAGGTGGTCCAGGCACTAGGTTAGAATAGGTCCCCTAGGTAGATGAGTATATTAGTGCACTTTAAAATGAGGTTCTGAAGATTGGTGCCTTAGTGAAGACTTCACCAATGGCCAAATGGAGACACGAGAAGGTGTCTCTTAGGATCAGGCATTGATCTAAGACTCGTCATCAGCATACAGGAGCCTAAAATCTTTTGGGGTGATAAAGAACACTTAGCTCAGTTCTCCAAAGTCACTCAGAGTCATGCAAATCAATGCCTGATTTAAATCGAGTGTGTCATATGGCACACTCCAACTTATCACCAAGATGCATATGGTGCGGGGAAGTTATATTCAATTTTCTGTTCCAAGAGGTTGCTTCACTGTATAATAAAAGCATTTTGGGGGGTGTGGACTCCACAATTTAAAAAAATATCATAAAGGAAAATATAAAGAAAATGCCTTAGACATGTTCTAATCTACAAAATGCAGCAATTTGCATTGGATTTCCCAGTCACAAAAGCGAATTAGCTGGTTCTGCTGTAACAAGGCTTAATTTAACTAATAAGAATCAACATACTGGTTTCACTTGACAGTCGTAACCCCTGAAAGTGATCAATTAAGACATCACAATCTGTTTCATGACAACATATCGGGATCCTGCAGCTGTGCAGATTATGAGGTCACCAGCTGACTAACAACTTGAGGGCAAACAATGGGAACAACAGCCTCTTATTTAAGTAACAAATATGTAATTGGACAGAGTGCTATGAATACAATGCCTTTGGGGGTAGATGATAATTTTTAAATTGCCTCTTTCTTTCATCCTAATCACTTGGCTGTATTGTCACCGTGGCCAGAGTCTTAGGAGGGCATTGTCACATGGCCCTTCTGCTTAGTCACAGTCCTGCCTCGCTGTCTGACTTTCTGAATGAGGTACCAGGAAACATGTGTGCACACGGTGACTGCTCTATTTACCACTTGGTTGCAAGAACCATCCTTACAGTATGATAGGAGTGCAGGGTGAGATGAGTGAAACATTCTTCATCATAATAGAAGCTTCAGGTAACACAAAGAGCTTGCTTGCTAAGGCCCAAAGGACTCATTTTTACCTTTGAAGGCACCTTCAAACTACAGTAAGCTATGATAAAAAGAAAGAAATACCTAGTCACAAATGGACAGTTTGATCCAAGAGCTGTTCTTATCTGGTTATCCGAGCTCCTTTTATTGGCTTTATCCCTGCATCTTGTGATCTCAACTTTCTTTGTTAAAATGCACTGCTGTTTCTTGAGCTCATTTATATTATTTGATTTGGGGTACTTGTTTGAAAATTTATTGCATATGCCTCCACTTGCTCAGTTTCTACCTCAGCAATCAGTTTCTTTCTAGGTTTTCTGAGAACTTTGGAAAGAATTGTCTGGTTCTACTTTATCAAGTCCTCTCTTTATTCTGAATTCTCTTTTTCTGTTGACTTGTCCCTATTTCTATGCATGTGTTGTTGTGTTTTTTTTCACTACAAACAAACTTGACCTCTTTATCTTTTTCTCTTTTACACTCAAAATATCATCAAGCCAAATACTTTGGTTAGGCTTGGGCTGTGTCTGTACACTGAGATCCCTACAAACATACAGCCAAGCCTGTCTGAGCTACAGTGTCCCTGCTGAAAGAAAGACCACAAATGTAAAAAACTTCCTATTATTTGAAATCTAAGATATTGATTTTTATAATAATATTCCTATATTTTACTTGGGTATTTTCTCTCTCTGCAAAAGTATACTAGCTCTTGCTTACATATCTGGTTATAAACACTCAGCTTGGAGAAAATTAAGAATTTGATGACATCTATTAAACAACTAAGTAATTTTTTACTTAGTATCTAATCTGTGCAAAGTGAAGGGTAAAATAATTTTAAATTCCTAATCAGTGTGAGATTAACCTCAGTATATGATCAACTAAGATTCAGTTCATATACTATTTCAAAGGCTGAAGAGATTGCCTTGAAAATCAAAATTTTTTTCCTCTACTAAAATGAATCTTGACATTTGCTTCCTTACAAAAAACAAAAATTTAATTCCTGTCTGTAGCACAGGTAAAGCATGGAAGAGAGAGGAAGGGAAGCAACAGTGTGAGAAAGATGTATAAGTGTAGGGTATTATATTCATTTATATAAACATGATTGAGCACTTAATATGAGCCAGTCATCCTACCTAGCACTTTTTCACATTTTTCCACTCAATTCTCATAATAAATTCTTCAAAACTTTGTTTTTAATTCCCACTATAGGGGTGAGGAAATGGACATGAACACAATGTCCAGTGGATAGTAGATACCATTCATGTTAAAAAGGAGCACTTTACCTTTGATGAAACACATTCACATCACTATTAAGAAGTGAGAGAGAATAAAGAAATATTTATTACTAGAGGCCCAGTGCATGAAATTCGTGCACTGGGGGGAAGGTGTCCCTCAGCCCAGCCTTCACCCTCTCCAATCTGGGACCCCTCGGGGGGTGTCCGACTGCCAGTTTAGGCCCAATCCCGGGATCTGGCCTAAACCGGCAGTTGGATATCCTTCTCTCAATCCAGGACTGCTGGCTTCCAACCGCTTGCCTGCCTGCCTGCCTGATTGCCCCTAACCGCTTCTTCCTGCCATCCTGATCACCCCCTAACCACTCCCCTGCCAGCCTGATCGACGCCTAACTGCTCCCCTGCCGGCCCAATCACCCCCAACTGCCCTCCCCTGCCAGCCTGGTTCCTCCTAACTGCCCTCCCCTGCCAGCCTGGTTGTCCCTAACTGCCCTCCCCTGCTGGCCTGATGGCCCACAACTTCCCTCCCCTGCCGGCCATCTTGTGGTGGCCATCTTGTGCCCACATGGGGGCAGCCATCTTGTGTGAGGGTGTGATGGTCAATTTGCATATTACTTCTTTATTATATAGAATCATTCTGCACTATTCCCAATATAAATAGAAGTAAACACCTCAAGTGTCACCATGTATTATATTAAAATTATTTGTATTAAATTATAAATTAATATTTTAAACATAGTGGTAGCCAAAATCTTCACCAGAAAAGAAAAAAAAATAATGTTGATGAAAGCCTCCTCAGGAATGTTAGGCATACATGTGAGTGGAATTTACCTGTCCTTTCTGGCAATGGCATTATCATGGTATAAGAAATTATATATATATATTTTTTCTTCGTAATATTTTCAATTTGTACTATGGCTGAAATTTCAGTCTAACATAAATTAATCATGACCAGTATTATTAGCTTTAAAATGGTCCTTCACATCTTACTCAATGTGCTTTTCAATTTTTTTTTTCAAAACAGCAGTGAGTTGTGTGTCTTTCTGAAGCATTAAATGGTTACAGTCCATGTCTGAAAAAAAGAAAAATAAGACTCTG